AATATCAAGTAATTCTGGTTTCCCACTGTCCCATTTTCCAATACACCACATTTCTGCACCAACAGCTGGTAATTGCACGGCAGGATCTGAAAGATTTTGGCAATAGATCACAAAAACTCTTCAGGATGTAGGAGGAAACATGGGATTACACAAGAAAAGGGAACACATTATCCAGTTACCATGATCAGAAAATTAACAGTCACAAAGTCATTTGGAGGTTTCAGGGTTAGCGAATTAAGAGGGAAACAATTCAAGAAGTTTAGAACTGGTGATTTATATTGCTGGAAGACTCCACCATGACACTGCTGCCTTCTCCTGTTTGTACATTCATCTTGCCCTTGAGTTACTTCTACCTTTAGCCCATGGAGCAAATTCCTGCCATACTATACCAGAAGTAAAGCAGGGAATTATCTGTAACATACACTTCTCTGTTGCATGTGGGCCCCAAAAGCCAAAAGTTTCAGCAGTCCATTTGGAAGTCTCACCTACTCTTGCTTTAACACAGCACGGGTCGAATCTCATGTGTTCCCCGAGTATGTACAGGCCCCACTTTTAATGTTAACAATTGCCTGCAGCAATATCAGAATCAAGATGTCAGCAAATAACAGACAGACAACTGTAGAAGTAACATTTTTGGTTTAGTGTTTGCAATTTGTTTTACAGCTCATAATGAAATACCGTTAGAGATATTCTACATTCAGACATTCCCAGCAAAATATACTTTTCAAAACATAAGGCACTTTAAGACTTCCTAAAACAAATGCTCATGATAAAAATTCAGCGAGAAGGCTGAATGAGAACCCTTTCTATCCTCAATGTTCAGGTCAGTAAAAGATCAATCCTCTAGTCAGACAGGCAAATGAAATAATCAATAGAAAGTTTTCCAAGATAGAGTTACTGCTGTATTAGTGTGCATTCTGAAGTAGTCTATTTGAAGTATCTTCAGTTGGGGAGGGAGGGCATGGTGTGAATAAGATGCATTAAAATAGTTCTTTGAACTGAGTAACAAAGACACATTGCAGGGATTAAGTTTCATTACTTTCATTGCATTAAATTCCCTCCATTCATTATTGCCAACAAGAGTAAGGAACAAAAAGGAGATGGTTCTCCCCTCCCTCCCCACCCCCCCATTATAATTCAACACAAGATTTCAAAGACTTAAAATGACCAGGACAGAAGCTCATGAAAAACTGCATCTGGCCACTTCAGAGCATGTTTAAATATTCATTACTGACTTCCTCAAGTCTCACCTCTTACCAAAGAAAGAGAAACAGAAAAGAATTGGCAACTGTGTAAGTTGCTTCCAGTCAAATTGGTATTTTGCTTCTTTCTAACATGACCCCACTGTTCACATGAAGTACCTGCATTCAGAAACACACCAGCAGCTCCCCTTGGCAGTGCGACAGCGGGGCAGGATGAATGCCAGCAGGGTCCCAGGCCCCGCAGAGAAGAAGGAATGAGCAACTTTGCTTCACACATTTGTGTCTTAGCATAAGAACAGTTTCAAAAGCTGGACGTGCTGGGCTGCTGTGGCAACAAGGGGACTGATACCAAAACGCTGACTGAAGACTTCACTTGGAAAGGCATCTGTAAGAACTGAACTCGACTATTTAAAACTGACCAAAAGAGCAAAACCACTTTCTACTTCTCAGGACCCCTGAGAAGGGGACGGTAGGAACTAGTCTTTCCCATTCACCAGTGTCTTTTCAGGTTGTGTCTTACCTGGTTTATTGCCTAGTACATTTTCCAGTCTTTGGGGGCTAACATTTGCTGAAAAACTGGACTACTGGGGGCTCAGTATATTAGGCACTATGGTCCAAACCTGCATCCTTTGTCCTTTTGAATCCACTTCTGAGGGAAAAAAACCCAACCAACCATTCATCCATCCGTTTTTCTTACAATTCCTTGTTTGCTTCAAATTCTGACTTACTTGAATTGCACTTTAAAGCCCAGCAGCAAGAAGAAACCTTGCTAGCTATATTCAGGAATATATACAAAATTTTTAAGAGACAAGACATCTTATCAAGTCTAAAAATGCATAGAGATATCAGCGGCATGAGCTGTCAAGTTTTGACCTGGCTACAGTGAAAAAGCTGTAAAAAACCGAATGTTAGACCTGTTAGAATTGGGGCAGAAATGGAATGCCTGTTCAGTTAGGAAAGGGAATGCACTTAAGAATCGAGCTGACTTAGAACCAGCCACCCCTTGGTCTTAACCCATCACACACACAAGTGCTGCTGTGCAAACAGGAACTGTGGTGAAATGAAAAATTATGTGACTTCAAGACAGCTGCTACTAAGGAGAAGAAAGGAAGGTGGCAGCTTGTGGTCCTGAGCTCAAAAGATCTTGAGATCTCAACTTGTGTGGCTCACTTTTGCTGGCAGAAGAGCCAAGCTCAAGATCACCTCAGTTGCTCACCACTGTTACATTAGCAGCCAATTTAACGTTGAGGCTCTGCAATCAGTTTACTGTCCTTCAGCACTGGTATGACCACTTTGCTTGGGACAGGAAAAAACATCTGAAAACAGAGATGAAGAACAAAACACAGGCCACTCGCTGATCCCAATTTAACTAACAGCATATAGTTGGTTCCCCTCAAAACCTGTGGGTTCTTCTTCCCAAGCAAACCTCAAAGAATTTGCTAAAGTGACATCTAGTTGCTCTGCACATGCACTCTACTGTGTTTTACAAAGATACTTAAAAAAGCTATTTGGAAAGGCACAGAGCATGCACATGTGCAATTCAGTTCGTTGTGGATAGATCTGTGCATGTGGGAAATCTTCAGACTAAGTTGCAATGATTAATAACGGATGAGGTGCTATTTTATAACCAGATCATTTCTTCCAAATTCCAGTTCCATTTCCAGGGAAATGAGCAGTGCTGACAAGGAAATGCAAGGCAAGAAGTTCAACCTGCGCACCGAGACAGACTGGAACATACAAAGTTTCATGGACCTTGTTCTTCAGGTCACATGAAAGGAAAAACTGTAGTCTAATTAAAACAAAAAATAAATCACTAAAGCTAGTTACAAAGAGTAGAATTATCAAAGTGCTTTAACATATAAAGTGTCAAATAGAATTAAACAGGAGCATTAACACAGAGCTCCATAAGATATTCAAATAGGTGCATCTGTTTTCTGAATACAGGAGAGCAGCACAGGTTTTTAATTTCCCCCGTAGGGCCAAAGTGGGTTAAGAAAAGTTTTTCTTGTTCATTTAGCTTCTTAACACAATGTATTTGCTCTGCTCATGCATTCGAAGGCACAGCTGCATTTGCTCTATCTGAAACTGCATCAAAAGGACTGTCTGGCATGAAGTATTAATAAAAGGGCAGGTCTCACTGAACAAAACATACAGCAGCCCCATAAAGTAGATTTATAGATACCTGTCAATTCATAGTATTTTATAAGCTGTTTCTTGGTACTTTAAACATAGTTTAAGATAACTGGATGTGCTATCTGAACATCCAACAGGCTGCCAAAGCTATTATAACAAGAGCAAATGCAAACAAATAAATAAGGAAGAGGTTTCAAAACCACCTCATGCAAGATGCTCAGACAACAACACATCTCTGCCTCCCTAACGGCTTTTCCTCTCATGTTATAAGAAAAAAAACCCCAAAGCATTCTCCACTGCACTTCTCTCAGTACTTCCAATTCATTAAGCTGCTGCCTACTTTAAGCAGATAATATTAAACATAGAAAGTAACTGTACGAAGCACAGCAGAGCTAGCTGTAGCAGGGGGACATGGTGGTTTAGAAACAAGAAATGTCAATCAAGACCTTTCCTGCAACTCACAGATATAAAAGCAGATTTTTTCCAGCAAGCTGAGACTCAAAAACGTGACACAGAGCATCACATCTGGTCCCTTACACAGGCGTGTATGGCCACAAGTGTGAAGTAATACGAAGTCTCAACAGAACAACCCATCTGTTTTCTAAAGGCACCATAAAGACAGCAACGCTTCGGGTGTAATGGGAAGAGGCAGAGGGAGGGAAAATGATGAATACAGTTAAGAGGAAACACTAAGAGCAGCTTGGTATAAGAAGGGATTAAAAACGTGTCTCAGTTCTATGAAGGCTGTAACACCTGTAACAGCACAGAAACCCTGCACCTCTAGGCAAAGGAAGAGTAACCAGAGTTTGGAAAAATATACTCCTGAAAAAACCCAATTCCCATTTTTAGTGGATGGGTGTGAAACCTGTAACTCAAAGTGAAAGAGACAGCAAAGAATCAAAATGCTATATAAAACACTGGGGTCCATACATACTCACATGGCATCATTAGCCTGCTTCTGATTTACCACAGTGTTAAGAGATCTGGACAGTCTCCTTTGCTCTGCAGGATGACTCAAGTCCAGTGAAGTGTCGTACCTTAAAACCTTTCTCAATCCGCCAGTGAGAACAAATCCCCCACCCCAGCTTCCCCTCCCCAGCCTGTACAAGGGACAGGGGGAGCAGTCTCCCAAACAGCAGATGTTTCTAGCAACCCCAGGCACCCTACAGGCAGCATGCCACCAAGTTAGTTCTCCTAAGCAGCACTGCACCAAGCAAGCCTAGGCTTGCTAAGATATTCTGCCCCTTACATAAACTTGAGGACAGTTTCTCATGAGCCCTTCAGACCAGAGGCTCATGCCACGCTGTTCCAGTATTGCTTTTCAAACATGTTTTCCTTCCCGTTATCCCAGGAGGACTTTCTGCATCCTGCGTGCAGCGACGCTGGCTTCATCCTCGGAGTCAGACTCACTCTGGGAAGTAGAGCTCTGGGAGGCAGAGCTGCAGGGTGAGGAGCACTCTGGGGAGCACAGGTAGTGCATCAGCGGGAGCCGATACTTCCCACAGAAGTCAACAAACTTGATCTGTCTGACACAGCTGTCGAAGTAGACGCCTGTGAGGGCAGAAGAACAGAGACAACATGTGAGGCTCCGTGCAGAGAAGGGTGGTTGCAATGCCTTAAATTAGGATTTAATGGACACTGCACTGGACGTAGAAGCACACAGGATACTGGAGGAAGAGGGGACCAGGGCACCTATAGAAATGTGGGATTTCTTTTCTGAGATAGAAAACAATCCTGTAAAAATGTATTTGGTAGGTGGTTCAGAATGGCACACTCTACAGGAAAAGACACAGGACAGCTGCTTCCCAAGAATTCGGCACTTCCTTCTAACCGTTAGGCAGAACTCTCAGGCTGGGAACTAAGAAACTTCTCCCATGTCAAATTCATTCATGCACGATATTTTCAAACTTGTAAAACTTCTTCTACCAGCTACCAAACTGCATTCACAGACAGACAGACCTCCACAGCTCTACTTTTCTTCTGCTTGAGTGAAGTTACTATGTGGAGTTTGGATGCTCCTTTCCATGGCAACAGTGGTGCTGTAACACACAATTACCTTCTCCTCCTGTCACAGCAAGTGATTGTAGACAATGATGTTTTCAGGAGTTTCCAGTGGTGTTTTAATTCCCAGCTGGTTTGAGTATGTACCCAGTAGCAACGCTGCATTACTGTGCTAGTTCCTAAGGCCAAGTGAAAAAGTGCAAAACCCATCCACTGTTATCCAAGCTGGGAAAAACTCTAAAAAAGGAAACATTTCTTTCCCTTCCAACACAAGTTCCAGCCCTTCCATCTTGGCTTATGGAGAATGCTTTGATATTGTCCTGTAAGGAGATAACAGCCTGCATATGACTGTAGAGTAGGTACTAATTAATGACTTCTTTTCCTTAATCTTCTAAAGGCTAAATGTGCAGATCGTTTATGCTGCTTAAAGATGAAGCATTATTTATTAATTAAGCTAAATTAAACCCAAGCATTCCACGCTTTTCTATGAAGTCCTCTCCTTCCAGGAACTACATGCTAGTAGACCCAAGCAAGAGTTAAACAAGTTGCTCTTAGTAACTGCCAAGCACTACAGCCTCTCTCCTCTTTTCTACCCAGAAATTAAGCTTGTTGTTCAGCGAGAGCACTTGTAACAGTTCTCCTGCCCACTACTTAGTCTGAGCTATTTCAGGGCAGATGGATTGGAAACTTCAGCCCATAAAAGCACAGTGGAGTGCTGGGATGAGCTGCAAAGACTCCGACACAAACACTGTCTCACATTCCCATGCAAATATAGTAAACCAGCACTACAACTTCGAACATCGTTCCTAAGTGAGCGAGGTTCCTTAAAGACAAGATTGCAGGAGCCCTGGAGCCAACGAAATACAGCTATAATTTGGATGCAACAACATATCTAACCTGACTGAGCTGGTAAACTTATGGCAAGTCAGACGGAAAGAAAACCCACCAGGAAGCAGAGCAGTGAAGATGAACTTACCCCCGCATTTAGGATTGGGACAATTGGTGGCCAGGCTCAGGTACCGGACAAGATTCTCTGGGAGGTCGCTGGGAGCATAGGGAACATTGCGAGTTTTAATAGTGCGCCCAGACAGTTCCTGAAGGCTTGGGGGGTTGTAGGTCAGGTCACGGACAAAGCGAACCACCAGTGGGTTCCCACGCAAGCTCAGCTCCTCCAGGTGAACCAGGTTAAGGATCTCTCGAGGAAGGTAAGTCAGCAGGTTATTGTGCAGGCTAAGGGAACGCAGGGAATGCAGCCTGAAGGACAGAGACGGACACCCAGTCAAGATGTGCAAGCAAAATCATTCCACAACTGCATTACACAGACCTGATCACTCTCTCCTCTCCCATCATTTTCTTTTTCCTTGGCTTTTCTTTCTTTTAAAACATAAATTCATGGTAAAAGAGCTGCTATTACTCCAGTACACACAATGTCCTACAAAACTTGGCTCACCTCCAAATGCCTGTTAAAGAAACAGTCTTAAATGTACTGCTGTCCCCCTCAGTATTCCCCACACACACATCCTTAAAAAAGGTAGCACAGAACAGAAGCATACAAACCAAGAGCTTTCGGGGGACATAATGTTTCCTTGTAGCCAGTGCATGCATCAGGAACGGTTCCATGCAATACTCTGAATAAGTCATCTGCCTTCACTCATGCATTAAAGGTGCTTGCAGGCAGCCAGCCCTGGAAACCCCCATGTTTTCATTGTTTGAGGCTGCATCTCCCTGTGCTGCAATACTGCCAGAGCTCAAAAGCTAAGCAAGGCCAGCCCAGGTTAGCATCAGCACGGGTGACAAGCAGGGGTTTGGCATTTGGAGGAGGTGTTCTCTCTCAGGAAGCAGAGAGCAATGCTCCAGCACATAATCTCAAGTTATAAACCAACTGGATATTGTACATCAAGAATAATCCCACTACACCATCAAATTCCAAATTCCATGCTGCCACTGAACCACTGCTTTTGTGGTTACAGCTACACACTGAATTCTTCATCTGCCATTTTAGGCTACCTGTACAGAGTTTTCAGTGTCCTCTTTCCCCCATTGTGAAAGAGATACAGCAGTAACTTAAACTCTAGAGCTGTGCTGTAGGATTTAATGAACACTAAAACATTCTGAGATCCTAAAGTAAGAACGCAGGGAGTGGTACAACACAGGAGCACACACAAAAAGACTTTGAGTGAAAGACAAGACAGACCAAACATTCATCACTAAGAATACTAAGAATGTAGCATTGCAGTTTATCTTTTCTGAGTTGCCCAGGCACTTCTCAGGGCTCCCTGTACAAACCTATTAATTCACCTTAAAGCACATACTTGGTGACATTTTTTTATCCATAACCCTATGATCGAGATGTCCCTATTATATATTCCTAGTCTGCCTGCAGTGCACTGCTGAGGAGCTGCTTGTTCAAGCCTAGTCACAGTAACAAACTGAAGAACAAAGAGGTCCTCCCAGGTGCTTTTATCCACACATGCAGAAGAAAAAGTTAAACAAGTTAATTACAGCTGGTGGCTGTTGACGGTAAATACTCACTGTGCCAGCTGAGGTGGAATGCTCTGGATCTTGTTGTCACACAGAACTAGATAGCTTAGAGAAGGCAGGTTTGCTAATTCAGGTGGAATTGAAGTGATGAAGTTCCCTCCAAGGTACAGAAACTCTAAACTGAAAGAGAGAAAACACTGCAGTATTTCATTAAGGTCGTTTCCAGTTTAATTGAACACTAGATCTTCTCCTCTCCTGCATTTCTTCAAGCAAACTTACAGATGACTATGTATGAGATAACGTGCTGAGGAAAAAGAAAAGCAAAAAAATAGCTAAACTGCACATCAAAATTACAACAGAGCTTCTTCTTCACAAGAGATAATGCTGAGATTTACCTCCAGTCACCATTACATCTGCAGGTAGGCACCACACAACTCTGTATTCCTACATGAACCCCAAATGCAAAGCTCCTGCTCCTACTTCCAAGGAAGAACAGGCTGCACACACACGGTCTGCAGCACTGATGCAGCTCCTGCTGCAGTCAGTGGGAGTTCTCAGCGTCAGCAGGAGCAAAGCAAGAGAGCAGTGCCTCTCCCTGAAAATCCTGGCCCTGCACAAGCACTACTTGCTCTTTACGGGATAGATCAACTCCTCAGCAATTAACTGCAACCTCTCAGCAGAAGTCAGAGGCAGCCAGTCTTGCTTTGATGCACTTCATATACTGCTAAAACCACAGCTGCAAACAGTGCTCAGAGTGCATGTAAGTCACACAAGAACATGCATGCAATTTCTCAGGTAGACTGATTTCACTATACTGCAGTCATGGGGACCGAAGCTACCGAAAACATTAGCTGGGCTTAACTGTAGCTTGAGCCTAAATAAAAGAAAGAAAGAAAAAAGAAAATATCACTCGATGTCCCTCAAAAACTGCTGGATGTGAGACAGGAACAAAGAGAAGCACTAAATCCCTTCTACCAGCTGGAGTAGCCAGTATTTGCTGTGCATCTCTGCCCTTTTAGGAAGGAAAACTGGCAACTGCTTCTCTTCAAGTGAAGCAATAGCTTCAAGTCCCCATTTCACAGAGTCAAACAGTTTCCGCCCCTGTTTTTGGGTGTTGTCTGGGAGAGGAGCAAAGGCAGGTTCAGTCTGGGTACCTCTGCCTGGGAAGAGACACCACTACTAATGGTGGTCCAGACAACACTTTTTCCCATTCCTGAAAAAGGTGGATCCCACCGTCCCATCTGCAGGTGCTAGTTCAAGATCTCCACTGCACACTCAGGTTAGCTGCCTAACTACAGCGTACGTTGGCTCCCCCTGATGCACCAAGCATTCCCCACGGGTCAGGGAAGAAAGAAGTTATGCAGGTTTTCCTTAAGAACAACTTACAATCTTGGAATAAGAAACACCTTCATCTCAGCCCAGCAGGCCCTCAGTGATATGGTTTAATGGTGCTCTTGGCAGTCCTGGGGTAATGGTTGGACTTGATGATCTTAAAAGGTCTTTTACGACCTACTTGATTCTGTCATTCTACTCTATTGTGAACTGAGAAAGGTGATGGATACAACTGGCAAAGAAATGTAACACCACAGAATCATAGAATGGTTTGGGTTGGAAAGGACCTTAAGATCATCTAGTTCCAACTCCCTGCCATGGGCAGGGGCACCACACCACAAACACATGTTGCCCAAGGCTCTGTTCAACCTGGCCTTGAACACTGCCAGGTTGTTCAGGACATGGTGGTCGACCCAGAGAAGGCCTAAAGCCTGCAATTGTGCCACAGCATGTGAGGAGCTTGTGGGACAGAAGAATGGTAGAAAGAGTTCATTCAGTTCTTGCAAGAGACTTGAACCTCAAAGATCCAATGACAGCATCTGCTTGGGCTACAAGGGGCCACTTTCACAGCACAAAGGTCCATCTGCCCAACAGTGAAGAACACGATGACACACCTCTGTAATACACCAGGAGAAGCTCACAGAGCTTAACTTTCCCTGGATTCACTCACCTTTTTGGAACAGAAGAAAGCTCCATAACTGAAATCTGACAGTGAGCACAAAATTAAGGCTTCAACTAAATCTGACTATATGAAAGGAAGCAACTGTACTTGCCTCAGCTAAGAGATCAAGTGGGGCAGCACATGTGGAGCGTATTCTGAACACATAAGAAAGTACAGTGGAAGAAACCATCACCAAAACCTCACTGCTCAAAAGTAGCCCCTCCTCCCCAGATAACCCGCAGGTGAGGAGTGGGGGCAGGAGGAAGGCTGTTGTGCACAGACCATGCCAAGGGAAGATTAGTTTTAATTAAATTTTGATCCCCTAACAAAGCCCTGAGTTTTAACCCAAATTCCTCTTTCAACCTCCATTGTTTCCCAAGGTGGATTTAGGCTGCTTGGCTCTCATTAGGGACTTAACTGCTGACCCTACAATTCCTAGGCATATTTTAACTCCATGCCATTGCTGGAACCCACATTTAACACTGTTGGGCAAGAGAATTTTAGTAATGTGGATTCCAATGTTTAAACAAGGATTAGATACCTAAAAATTTCCACTTCCTAGGAAAAGTGAATAATTAAGTCTTCACCCTCTGTGTTTGAAGGCAATAATGCCCATGAAGCCACACTGCATAAAAATACACACAGGGAAGAGGAGAAAGGGTACAAAATATATAGTAAAAGATGTTTTGAAATTCATTGCAAGGTGTGAAATGCGTAAGTTTCAAGAGCAGCTTGCTGCACAAACTAAGTGTGCAGAAACACTGGCTACGAACTGCTTAGAGCTTTCAAATCCAATCTTCGTAAAGTATTTGTACTGAGAACAGTCAGTTATAACAGTTATAAAGCCCCAACATCAGACTACAAACTGTTTCTAACTAAAAATCCACTAAATAAGGTAACTCCTTCAGTGGCAACAAAGGACTTATCCAAAATTGTTTTCTTTTTACCTATCCTCTGCACTACCTTCCTGAGGTCAACAACTCACTGGGCCCAGTCTTGTGGAGCAAATTCAGCATTTCCAACATCAACTCAAGATACCAATTAGAAGGTGAGTTTATTTAAAAAGCATAGGGAGGAGGTTTTGAAACTATAAAGAAACTTATTTGAAATACAACAAAGGTATTCGTATAGCTTCCACTGAAAGACTGCTCAGTAAGCAGAAGAAATCTGTAACTCTGGTCCCTCAGAATACAATTTGCTAGTAAGAAGGGTCTGTTCTAGTCTTGGCTGAGCAAAATACAGAAATTAACAAGTCATCTCTGCATCAAATTAAAGCATCAAGAATTGCCTGAGCAAAGGTAATCATGACACAGGCAAGGATTTTGAAGAGACACAACCCTTTCGTAATGAGCAGTGACCACACCACAGGGGACACAGTTGGTTCCCAGCTCATCTGCTCCTGGTCTGATTTTTGTGATGTACTAAGCCTGCACCTAGAGGCCAAGGCAATGCTGGCTCTTGAGCTGCCCTGCTCAGGGGGCAGTTTGCTGCTTGGTAAGATAAGCAAAAGCACTGCTGAGCTCTGCCCTCCTCACAGAGAGCCTGCAACGAGGCAACTGGCTACATTACCAGAGATAGCAGAGATGGGAATGAGCTTAGTGACTACTTCCAACTAACCTTTCACACCAAGACCCACGTTTTCTGACAATCATTAATCTGTGTAGTCATTCTGACCAGCCAGCTAAGGTCCTGTGCATCACTGTGTACACAGAGAGAGAGCTGGAATTCTGATCTACTTCCAACAGTCCAGGAACTTAGAAAAGCCAGAGAGCAACCAGCCTCAGATGAATGTAAGCTCAGTTCCTACTTTTGAGGCTAGAATAAATGATGTACTTCCAACCTGCCACGCATGCTCTGGTTGAATGAGTTTCAAGAGGGGACAAACACTAACAAAATTCAACTCAACAAAAAAAAGCCAAAACCAAACGAACAACAAACCCCCATTTGACAGAATAACTAATGGGGGCTGATGCTTTCCCTCCTGTCCTTAAGCAAAGTTTACAAATACACTAGCAAAAGGCCAGGGTCCCTTTCAACCTCACATCCAGCAGATCAGCACTCAGCACAGCCAGTACTAACTGCTGCCAAGCAGCAGCCAGCAGTCCAAGCACCATCATGTGTTGCTCCTCTCTAGTGAGGGATTTCACACCACTGGGCTGCAGCGTGGCAGTGAAAACCCTTTTCCATACAGGAAGGGAGTGGGGAAATGCTCCAACAACTGTGAGTCAATTCAGGTGGTGGCAGCAACGTTTAACATGCCAAGAGACTGTACATTCTTGCTTGAGTATGTTCTTGAGGCTTAAAGGTCATCATATACCCCAAAACAAATGGAAAAGCCCCAGAACAGTAAATAAGAAGAGCTCACTCTGAGCACTAGAGGTATTTTTGAAACGCTCTCAGTTACCACAACACTTTCATAGTCATGTTTCAAGGGAAGAATGTCTTCTGGCACAGAAGATAGTCCAATTTTCAATCCACCTTGTTTCCCCACAGATGCTTCTTCAGGTAAAATTTAACAGCTGACATCAAACAGCTGCATCTAAATAGGTAATCTAAAAGAAACAACGGAGCCTGGAAGAGCTCCAGGTCTTTTTAAGATAAACTTTTAAGCAAGAAATTTCCAGGGCAGTTTTGAGGCTCAGGCAAGGGAGGAATTTTAAAAGCAGCCCACAGTACACTCCTGTTAACCCTGTTCTACGATGTGCTAACTCCTGAGAGCCTTTGCTGACAGGCAAATTTGAGATCAAACAGTCATCTGAAAACTATTTGCAAAACGTTTGAAGAGGGGAAGAAAAAGGGAGGCAGCAGCAGATTTCCTAATGCTCTACCTTTATCAAAGCTTCACTTGCTGTTTTTCCCACACTGTAACAGCCGTTCTTAAGCGTATGCTTGTCTAACATGCATAATGCTACCCATGAATAAAAGCAAATACTCTGGTTTCCATTGCATCTAAACCTTTACACAAAACTTGGATGAATCCAGTTAGGCATTTAAGGCCTTTGATCCCAGCCCTTGCACAACTGGGCTTTACTGGAGGAATCCAAGCAAGGAGGAAAGAAGCATGCATGGCAGATGCCTGGGAAGAGCCTGGCTCTTCTCCAAGCTCTTTCTGCCTGTTCCTGGTACTCTCCTGAGCGTGAGAGCGTCACTACAAGAGTAAGAATAAACTCGAAATTCCCATCAGGAG